CCTGTACATATGCTCAACAAAATCATCTATAAGAACAGGCCAAGCACCTGCAACAATAATCAATGCACCTAAACATTATTAATTCACCAACAGAACAGAGAATTCAGAATAATGTTCTATTGAAACAAAATGAACCCCCCCACCTCACCCCCTCCCCAAAAAAAGGCAATTTTAATTTGTAAACATAGAAGTAAAAATAGCTAAAAGAACATATCAAACTTCCTCTAGAAAACATAAATTTTGCTTCACCAAACAAGAATTACACAAAATCAAAAAAAGGCTATATTAAAGCTAATTTTGTATCTTAGATCTTGATTTGCTACTATATGGATCACAGAAAACCTGCACATATGTTATCAAAGAGGGGGATGTTTGTGTACGCATCATAGAAATAAATAAAGATTGGTTCAATATAAATAATGGATAAAATAGGAATATCATAGCAGTTCAGTTTACTTTCTATCTATTTCATAGGACGCATCAGCAAAGAAATATACGGTTATGATTAATCACCTCTGATTAGATGAACATCCCATATGAATCTAAAAACATTACTAGACAGAAGAAATCAATACCTTCAGGATCGTACCCTTCCAGATTTTCATGCACACAGCGACTGAATGCTAAAACCTGTTGCCAAGTATCCTCAGAAATGTTGTGTCGCTGATTTTTCTAGAAGCAATTCAAAGACATTAGACTCTTTTATTAAAAAGCGAAAAACAAAAGATCACATATTAATAGAAGACAAAAAAATTTGAACTTCAATTGATTTCACGCAATTTCGCATAAGCATAGGTTAAGGCAAGACAAAGGGAAAATTAAAGAAAGGTCAAATAACAAAGATCCAACAGACTCAAAATTCCCAATTTTGTTAAATAGTAGTTATAATAGGCCCCCATGACAGAGATACCCTTTATTGATCAACAACAATACAACCAAAGCGTAGGAGTAAACAACTAACAAAATAGGATCCTTGATAGGAAACTAAATAAATTTACCAAAAAAACTAAATATTTCCTTAAGTTAAAAATTCCTGATAAAACATAACATTACTTTATTTCGCTTCAATATCTTCCAGTTCTGTATTATTGTCCCCCACTTTGTGAAAACTCAACCTCTAGTTTTCTAATGAAGCATCTTGAATCCTTGGAAATTTACAAAAAGAATAAGCTTTTTGTTGTGATAAGGAGGCTTAAAGGAAAACCTAAGGAGAAACTGAACAAACAAACATCAGAGATTTCACATCCCAACAATACAACTCAAAGTCTCAAGGTGTGGAGAGAAGAGAATGGGTTTGTTAAGGCTAGTTTTTGGATGGCAAAAAAATTAATTGCGTTGAAAGCAGCTATTAAAGAGTGGGTGCAGGAGGAGAGGGTTAGGGTTGAAGAAGGTATTAATTGGTTGTTAGAGGAGTTAGAGAGTTTGGATCTTGAAGAAGGGGAGGGCAGGTTTCG